GGGACACAGGTTCGTGCCCCGGTCCGGGAGGATCCCACGTGCCGCGGAGCAGCTGGGCCCGTGAGCCATGGCCGTTGAGCCTGCGCGTCCGGAGCCTGTGCTCCGCAACGGGAGAGGCCACCATAGTGAGATGCCGGCGTACTGAAAAAAAAAATTTTTTTTTAATTTAAAGAATACTGGGAGAATGAATCTAAAAGAGGTATCTTTGAGAGTGGAGAGAAATAGTATTGTCTAGGACTAGAAGTTTAGGGCTTAGTTTAAAAACAGGGAATATGCCCGAAGGTACTCTCTAATGAAGCACCAGGTGGGTTCAGCAGATGTTGGCCGGGATACTTACATGAACCACTTCAGACTGGACAGCTCTGGGTGTCTCCTGAATTGATTTCTCTATTTCACTTGAGTTTTCATGGTGCTGTGTCACCTTCTGAAATTATATTAGCCAACAGTAAGAGAATTTGACCTAGAAGATGTGGTGTCAGAATTGCTTACTGTCCTTTGGTACTTTTATTCCAGGAAAATTGATGAGGGATCTGGAACATAAAACAAGTGAGCACCTGGAGGGGATAGTGGCTGAAGTTTGCTAATTGCAGCTTTCCTATGAAGCTCCATTACTTATGGGTCAGCTCTTTCATTTTAAAGAGGAAGGTCTTCGTGTGACAAATGTGTCCAAATTCTTTATCCTGAGAATTCAGATTTCAAACCCACAAATCTTTCCGCAGATTTGTGCAGCTGCAGTGATCTCAGTCCTTACCATTTTGCCCTCTCAAGTCTCATCACACTGCCTGTGCCCTTGAATTTTCTGTGTTCTCTTCATTTTCCAGATATGGTTGCTAATAGTATGAGCACAAGGTCACAAGCAGTTTCTGGCCTGCTCCCCTGAGGAGTCTACCCCCATGGTCATAAAGGCCCCAGAACCTATGGGATAAATCTCAATTGCTGTCTCTTGTGATGCCACACCTTTGTCTCCTTGTCCCCACAGTGAGGATCATCCTGAATTCCCAGACAGTCAATGGCTACCTCTCAGTGTTTCCAAATGGGAAGAGCATGATATTCACTGGCTTGTGGATGAACACATAGCAGCATGGTCAGCGATTTGATCCGGAGCCTGGTGTGCTGGGCAGTAAGGGCTTCACGCGGGGCAAAGTGTATCAGGAAGTGACAGAGGACAGGATCTGGTGGGGAGCAGGGGAGGAAGAAGAAGCAGTGAAATACAGGGGTGGAAGCAGAGGTGTGTTTGGCAGTAGCTATCTTGGTGGATTTCTAGGCATCCCTGATGGGTCTAGTTCTCCTGGATATAGAGGTGAGAAGGAGCAGTCGGAGGGGAATGGTCACAGGACAATGGAATGTGGCCAGAATTCTGCCTGCTGAGGGCGGCAGGAGAGTCAGTGGTGAGAAGAGGGTTTCTCAGCTTCACCCCCGAGGAGGGGTTCTGGACTCTGCAGCTGTCTTCAGCTGGGGTCTATATATGCACCGGCCCTGAGCCTTGCCAGATCCTGTCCTACTGTCCAAGGCTGACTGGAGCTGCTCTGGATTATGATGGTGGGAAGGTAACCTTTACCAATGCCAGAACTCAAGAGTTTCTCTATGAATTCTCAGCTTCCTTCACTGGGAGAATTCCCCCTTTCCTGTGGCTTGACTGCATGAGATCCAGACTTACGCTGGGACCCTGAGAGGAGACCTCCTGGGCACAGCCCTGGGTGTTTTCATTGATCCTCTGCTCCTTTACATCATTCCCAACTCGCTGCCTCAGCTAGGTGGTCATGCTGGATTTCTGAATGCGCTTAGATGACTGGAGCCTTATGGTAGTCAGGACTCTCTTGTCCTCACCGCTTTGTCTCTAAAATGGGAGCTTGATCTGCTTTCTCTACAAGGGAATGGTTGAAATGTCTTTAAAGTACTTATTAAAATGCGTGTTAATTATTAATTTTTCCTTCAGTTGCCTTTGATTTGGTTCTTCACCTGCCACTGAGATAAAGGTATGAGAACGAGTGACTATATCATAGGACTGCAGCCCCTGCCACGAATAGGAATTGATTACAACATCCATATCCATTTCTAGAGCACCTTTTCTGTCACATAATTTCTCCTGCCATCCTTCTAAGCAGCTGAGGAAGCAGTAAATGTTTTGCAACTCATACCTGCTTACCGTTGATACATTATGAGACTTGAGCTATCTGGAGTGGGAACTGGTTTATTTCTTTCTGCTATGCTCTGATAATTTTTGCATAAGAAGCGGGGGAGTGGAAGCCATGTGAGGTTCAGGTGTATATGAGTTTTTGGAGGTCACTTGGACCTGCAGTTCAGTCTTATGTCAGCTGTGTTTTGAGGTGGTAGAAATAGACACTTAGCTTAATATTAAATTAGTAGTCTTAAGTATAAGCAGCAGAAAACAAATTTGGCTAATTTTAGAAAATGGGAAACTTATTAAACGTTACTGGGGCTTGTAGAGTGTAAAGAGAGAGGGATATGTGTGCCTACCTGATTCTAAATTCTGCCCCAAGAGAGCTGGGAGTCAGCGTGGGCACTGCAGTGAGAGGGACGAGCAGCTAGGGTGTCGCAGGTGTTGAGAGGATGGTTGGGGTTGGCAGCACCTAAACAGAACATACCACGCATGAGGACAAGCTAGTGGAGAGGGGGTGTGATCTGGTGGGGAGCAGAGGAGGAAGAAGTAATGAAGACACACAGGGGTGGAGCCAGAGCTGGGTTTGGCAGCAGCTATCTTGCTGGATTCATAGACCCAGCTGATGGGTATAGATCTCCTGGACATAGAGATGAGAATGAAGAGTTGAGGAGGGAATGGTCTCAGGAAATTAGTGGATAGAACAGGCCGTAGTTCTTCATGTAAGTAACTCCTAAAGAAAAACCTGGCATAAGTGCACCAGATTGCCAGAGAATAGGATGCGTGTCTGTGCCCCAGCAACATTAAAGGCTAGGAAAGCGTGCTTTTGGCTTCTGTAACGAGAGGTGGTCTCATCAAGACTCACGTAGTTTAGCGTTCTCAAGACACGGGAGCAGATGCGAGCTGCCTAAGAAGAACGTCCCTTATTTAAACTGCTGGGTTCAAGAGATGTGGGTATACTTGCTCTGATAGCTCAGTTGTATAAGAAAGTTTTGTCAAAACAATATGACCAAACAATAGAAGATTCCTATAACTGTATCTATCAATAAAAGCAAGTACAAGTCGAGTGCTGACGTTGTATGTTCAGATCCTCATTATAGAAGGGACAAAGCAACGTGCAAACAGATTTTTTCTATATGGTGAGTGGCCAAAGGTTTTAACTATTATATTCAATTACAGCGCAGTCCATGTTTCACTTACAGGACTGAAGGAAACAGATTTTATGGGTTAAGGATGTAGATAAGAGGATGTTGCAGTGCTTTTGGTTAAAAGTAATTATGAGATGAAATATGAGTAATTACTAAAGAACAGGGTCAGAATTTAGCAAGACAATGTTGAAACTGTTCCTCTTTAGAATGTTTCTTAAGTCAAAGATTAATATTAATAAGATACTTATCAGACAAATAGAAAAAATGTCAGAAAAAAGAAGCCAAGAAAAGAAATTATGTCTGATAGTAGAACCACAGGAAGAGTCCTCTGGGGATCCCAGATTCTGTGCCAAGAGAGTGACTCTGAGGTCCCGCCCTCTCTCAGGACAACTAAGGCATCCAGTCTCTCCAGGTATGCAGGGGAGACAATCCCCGAAGTAAATGATTAGCAGTTCCCTTTGACCCCGGCGGCAGCAACGGGCACTATACTCTGGATGACTTTCTCTCTCTCAGGCCTTGCTCTCTGCCTCACCCTCAATCTGTCTGGAGGTCTGACTCCAGCTTTTCTGAGTTACTCGGCCCCCACACAGGTCAGGACCAGAAGTGGTGTTCTCCAACCCAGAAACCTGGAGCCTCTTACTCTGAGTTGTGTCAACCTGAACTTATAGCTATCCAAGGAACAGGAGATTATCCCAGACCCCACGTCCAGGCTGGTGTCTTGCTCCCCCCAACTCAACTGTCCTGTCTGTTCCCAGGATGGTCACATGAGTGCTGCTGGAGTGTCCCATGAGGGTTGCAAAATGTCTGAATTTTCTGATTCACCCCCTCAGATTCCCCCAAAGACACATGCAACCCAACACTCTATCTCTGACCGTGAGGTCACCCTAAGATGCTGGGCCCTGGGCTTCTACCTTGTGGAATAACACTGATCTGGCAGCATGATGGGGAAAACCCAACTCATGGCACAGAGGTTCTAGATAGAGAAATATATACCATGCTAACACTAGTCTAATGAAAGCAAGAGTAGCTATACTAATTTCAGACACAGCAGACTTCAACACATGGAAGGTTATCAGAAATAGCAAGAAAGGCGTCACATACTGATAAGAGTCAATTCTCCAAAAAGACATAACAATATTTAATGTGAATGCACCTAACAACAGAGGGTCAAACGATGTGAGGCAAAAACTGATAGAATTGATAAGAGAAATAGATGAATCCACTCTTTTAGTTGGAGACTTCAACATCTCTCTCTCAGAAATGGACAGAGCAAGCAGGCAGAAAATCAGTAAGGACATAATTGAACTCAAAACACAATCAATCAACTGGATATAATCAATATCTATAGACTACTTCAGCCAACAACAGAAGAATACACAGTCTTCTCAAGCTCACGTTAAACATTCACAAAGATAGACCACATTCTGGGCCATAAAACACACCTTAACAAAATTTTTTTTTAATAAATTAATTTTATTTCTGGCTGCGTTGGGTTTTCCTTGCTGTGCGTGGGTTTTCTCTAGTTGCAGCAAGCGGGGGTTCCTCTTTTTTGTGTTGTGCAGGCTTCCCCTTGTGGTGGCTTCTCTTGTTGCAGAGCACGGGCTCTAAGCACAGAAGCTTCAATAGTTGTGGCTCACGTGCTCTAGAACGCAGGCTCAGTAGTTGTGGTGCACGGGCTTACTTGCTTCCCAGCATGTGGGATGTTCCCAGACCAGGGATCGAACCTATATCCCCTGCATTGGCAGGCGGATTCTTCACCACTGCACCACCAGGGAAGTCCCCACCTTAACAAATTTAGAATATTAGAAGTCATACAGAGCCTGAACCAAGATGGAGGAGAAGGATCTGCTCTCACTCCCACTTGTGAGAACACCACAATCACAGCTAGCTGCTGGACAATCCCTGACAGGAAGACACTGGAACTCACCAAAATGATACCCCACATCCAAAGACAAAGGAGAAGCCTCAATAAGATGGTAGGAGGGGCACAATCACAGCAAAACCAAATTCCATAACCGCTGGGTGGGTGACTCACACACTGGAGAATACTTATACCACAGAAGTCCACCCACTGGAGTGAAGGTTCTGAGCCCCACGTCAGGCTTCCCAACCTGGGGTTCCGGCAACGGGAGGAGGAATTCTTAGAGAAACAGACTTTGAAGGCTAGTGGGATTTGATTGCAGGACTTTGCCAGGACTGGGGGAAACAGAGACTCCACTCTTGGAGGGCACACACAAAGTAGTGTGCACATCGGGACCCAGGAGAAGGAGCAGTGATCCCAGAGGAGACTGAACCAGACCTACCTGCTAGTGTTGGAGGGCCTCCTGCAGAGGCGGGGGGTGGCTGAGGCTCACCGTGGGGACAAAAACACTGGAAGCAGAACTTCTGGCAAGTACTCCTTGGTGTGCGCCCTCCCAGAGTCCGCCATTAGCCCTACCAAAGAGCCCAGGTAGTCTCCAGTGATAGGTTGCCTCAGGCCAAACAACCAACAGGGAGGGACAAACAACCAGCCCCACCCATCAGCAGTCAAGTGGATTAAAGTTTTACTGAGCTCTGCCCACCAGAGCAACACCCAGCTCTACCCACCACCACTCCCTCCCATCAGGAAACCTGCACAAGCCTCTTAGATAGCCTCATCCACCAGAGGGCAGACAGCAGAAACAAGATGAACTACAATCCTGCAGCCTGTGGAACAAAAACCACATTCACAGAAAGATAGACAAGACGAAAAGGCAGAGGGCTATGTACCAGATTAAGGAACAAGATAAAACTCCAGAAAAACAACTAAATGAAGTGGAGATAGGCAACCTTCCAGAAAAAGAATTCAGAATAATGATAGTAGAGTTGATCCAGGACCTCAGAAAAAGAATGGAGGCAAATATCAAGAAGATGCAAGAAATGTTTAACAAAGACATAGAAGAATTAAAGAACAACAAACAGAGATGAAAAATACAATAACTGAAATGAAAACTACACTAGAAGGAATCAATAGCAGAATAACTGAGGAAGAAGAACAGGTAAGTGACCTGCAAGACAGAATGGTGGAATTCACTGCCACAGAACAGAATAAAGAAAACAGAATGCAAAGACATGAAGACAGCCTAAGAATCCTCTGGGACAACATTAAACGCAACAACATTCACATTATAGGGGTCCCAGAAGGAGGAGAGAGAAAGGACCCGAGAAAATATTTGAAGAGATTATAGTCGAAAACTTCCCTAACATGGGAAAAGAAATAGCCACCCAAGTCCAGGAAGCGCAGCAAGTCCCATATAGGATAAACCCAAGGAGAAATATGCCGATACACATAGTAATCAGATGGGCAAAAATTAAAGACAAAGAAAAATTATTGAAAGCAGCAAGGGAAAAACGACAAATAAAATACAAGGGAACTTCGATAAGGTTAACAGCTGTTTTCTCAGCAGAAACTCTACAAGTCAGAAGGGAGTGCCATGATATATGTAAAGTGATGAAAGGGAGGAACCTACAACCAAGATTACTCTGCCCAGCAATGATCTCATTCAGATTCAATGGAGAAATCAAAAGCTTTACAGACAAGCAAAACCTAAGAGAATTCAGCACCACCAAACCAGCTCTACAACAAAAGCTAAAGGCACTTCTCTAAGTGGGAAACACAAGAGAAGAAAAGGACCAACAAAAACAAACCCAAAACAATTAAGAAATGGTCATAGGAACATACAAATCAATAATTACCTTAAACGTGAATGGATTAAATGCTCCAACCAAAAGACACAGACTTGCTGAATGGATACAAAAACAAGACCCATATATATGCTGTCTACAAGAGACCCACTTCAGACCTAGGGACACATACAGATTGAGAGTGAGGGGATGGAAAAAAGATATTCCATGCAAATGGAAAGCAAAAGAAAGCTGGAGTAGCAATATTCATATCAGATAAAATAGACTTTAAAATAAAGAATGTTACAAGAGACAAGGAAGGACACTACATAATGATCAAGGGATCAATCCAAGAAGAAGATATAACAATTATAAATATATATGCACCCAACATAGGAGCACCTCAATAAATAAGGCAACTGCTAACAGCTGTAAGAGAGGAAATCGACAGTAACACAATAATAGTGGGGGACTTTAACACCTCACTTACACCAATGGACATATCATCCAAAATGAAAATAAATAAGGAAACAAAAGCTTTAAATGACACAATACACCAGATAGATTTAATTGATATTTATAGGACATTCCATCTAAAAACAGCAGGTTACACTTTCTTCTCAAGTGCTCATAGAACATTCTCCAGGAGAGATCACATCTTGGGTCACAAATCAAGCCTCAGTAAATTTAACAAAATTGAAATCATATCAAGCATCTTTTCTGACCACAACGCTATGAGATTAAATTAATGTGATACACCATATTAACAAATTGAAGAATAAAAACCGTATGATCATCACAATAGATGCAGAAAAACTTTTTGACAAAATTCAACACTCATCTATGAGAAAAACTCTCCAGAAAGTGGGCATAGAGGGAACCTACCTCAACATAGTAAAGACCATATACGACAAACCCACAGGAAACATCATTCTCAATGGTGAAAAACTGAGAGCATTTCTCTAAGATCAGGAAAAAGACAAGGATGTCCACTCTCACCGCTATTATTCAACATAGTTTTGGAAATCCTAGTCTCGGCAATCAGAGAAGAAAAAGAAATAAAAGGAATACAAATTGGAAAAGAAGAAGTAAAACTGGCACTCTTTGCCGATGACAGGATAGTATACATAGAGAATCCTAAAGATGCCACCAGAAAACTACTAGAGCTAATCAATGAATCTGGTAAAGTTACAGGATACAAAATTCATGCACAGAAATCTCTTGCATTCCTATACATTAGTGATCAAAAATCTGAAAGAGAAATTAAGGAAACACTCCCATTTACCATTGCAGCAAAAAGAATAAAATACCTTGGAATAAACCTACCTAGGGAGACAAAAGACCTGTATGCAGAAAACTATAAGACATTGATGAAATAAATTAAAGATGATGCTAACAGGTGGAGAGATGTACCATGTTCTTGGATTGGAAGAATCAATATTTTGAAAATGACTATACTACCCAAAGCACTCTACAGATTCAATGCAATCCCTATCAAATTACCAATGGCATTTTTTGTGGAACTAGAACAAAACATCTTAAAATTTGTATGGAGACACAAAAGACCCCCAATAGCCAAAGCAGTCTTGAGGGGAAAAAACGGAGCTGGAGGAATCAGACTCCCAGACTTCAGACTATGCTACAAAGCTACAGTAATCAAGACAATATGGTACTGGCACAAAAACAGAAACATAGATCAATGGAACAAGATAGAAAGCCCAGAGGTAAGCTTGAGGGAGGCGATATGGGGATATATGTATACATATAGCTGATTCACTTTGTTATACAGCGGAAACTAACACACCATTGCAAAGCAATTATACTCCAATAAAGATGTTAAAAAGAAAAATGGGGCTGGAACAGCTGGACATGCACATGCCAAACAAAAACAATAAACAATAAAACAAATCTAGATGCAGACCTTACACCCTTCACAAAAATTAAATCAAAATGGACCACAGACCTAAAGGTAAAAATGCAAAAGTGTAAAACACCTAGAAGTAACATAGGAGGAAACCTAGATTACCTAGAGTATGGCAGTGACTTTTTAGATAAAACACCAAAGACACAATCCATAAAAGAAACAAGTGATAAGCTGGACTTCATTGAAATTAAAAATATCTGCTCACAGAAAGGCAATGTCAAGAGAATGAGAAGACAAGACACAGAGTGGGAGAAAAGTAGGTAGTATTTTACCTATTTTAGTAGGCAGAAAATAGAGGTATTTTAGGGTAGTGAAACACTCTGTCTGATACTATAATAATGGACACATGTTCCTATACATTTGTCCAAACCCACAGAATGTAGAGTTCCAAGAGTGAATCATAATATAAACTATGGACTCTGGGTGATGATGATGTGTCAGTGTAGGTCCATCAGTTGTAAAAAACGCGCCACTCTGCAGGGGACATTGATAATGGGGCATGCTATGCATGTATGGGGTCAGGGAGTATGTGGGAAATCTCTTCAATCTTGCTGTGCACTTAAAACTACTCTACAAAAATAAAGTCTTAATAACATGTGAACAAGTGTTATCTAAATACCCAGCATCACAGAAAAGTCTGCCTTCTTGTGAGAGGACTCTTTCAGTTACAAGTTAACAAAACTGGAATGAATCTAGCTTTGGCAAAAGAGGTTTAACATGTTGATTTACCGGGGAAGGCCAGGGGTGAGGCCAATTAGAGACATGAATGGACCCGGAGACTCAAACTTGTCATCAGACCTCAATTTCTCTTCTCTTTCACTGTTCCTGGGGAAGACAGACAATATGATCTCTAACCCCCTCACATTACCCACTTTCACAACTTTAGCAGAAAAATAAACATCTTTCTCACATTGAGCATACAAAGAGTACTGGAGAGGAAAGACTACCCTTGGACCAGTCCCTGTTGCTAGGTGGATGTGGTACAACGTGGTAACCTGACTTGTCAGGCCTGGGTCATGTGATTTCCTCATATCTCTGTTCATTATATTTCCTAAGTTAGTTAAGGTCATACTGATTATTAAACCATGTAACTATTAAACAAAAAGACTTTCACAAATTCTCAGAACCATAAGAAAATAAGTGAGAACATTAACTATTAGAACTGCTGGGTGTCCTTTTATTTCCTCTCCTTTATATTTCTACCTAACCTTTTGTCTC